GCATGCCACAGTCCAGGTGTTAGTCCCCTTGAAACAACTTTTCCATCACTATTGTGGCCAGAAAGAGTCCCTGTGTGTTTTAAAATTCGCCTGCCCATTGAAGTCTATGGCAGTTCGCCCGTTTCGCCGGTTCTCGAACATTTGCGGAAGTTCGCGTTCGCTGTTCGACATCACTAGTGACAACTCATCTTCTCATATCGGCTAATTCCATCATCTCTCCTCATTGGGAGTCACCCACTGTACCAACTGTGGGCGAGGTCTTATTTCTCCTTTTTGAAAATAAAAGGTGTGAATTTGTTTTTTTCTGATCCATCTACTTTCATAAATTCAGACTTTAACTAGGTTCCCACCTGATTGAATACATATTCTTTTTTCTGATTAATTTTTTTTGTATCATGCTGTTATTAATTACTTGGCTCTTTATTTTATTTCTGTTCATAGTTTACTTATTTCATATACAAATATTTATAATATTTATATGTATGTTATTTGATTGCTTGTTTAATTTTAACAATGGTTCATAATTCATTATATATATGCCAATGTTGCGTGATGTATTATATTATTTTAAAGCATTAATAAAAATATTCGACGTTTATAGTGCCAACTTATTCTATAGCGCTTTATATTAGAAAAAGAAGGAAATTTAACAAGATGGGCCAAACGGTTCTTAGCTACCGTCACCTTCTATGTTTCTATGTTTTAAATGAGAAAATTACAAAATGTTATGGGAAAAATAGGTTGATGAGGACCCTTCTCAAATGAGCTTACAGTCTAGAGGAGGTGGGGTATAAAAACAAGATAGTAAGTTCATCAAGGGGGATGGCACCAAACAACAAAGTGGGAATGAAGCAGAACCAGAGAGTGGTGTGTGGCCCTTTAGGAGAGAGGAAGGGACAGATTTGTTAGATAGAGGTCACTCTGGGAGGTCATAAGCTCTTGAGGGACTTCTTAAATGATTGAAGACTAGTTGAGAGTCTGATTGGGGTAGGCAGACTGTTCCAAAGGAGAGGAGAGGAGCTACTAGGGAGACAAATTACAGAGGTTTGAAGGAGCATTGCTGTGAAAGCAGAAACCCCACACCACCACCTTTACTGTCAGAATGTTTTGGGATGTGAAATCTTCCAGAAATGCTATATCTGCATAATGCTTTAGCTTCAAGACTGTTGGTAGTTGTGAGTCCTGTGAGCAAATAAATAAAACATTTAAGATGTGGAATGCCTAACTAGCACATAAATGTATTGTCTTTTACAGAAATCTTGGTGTGCTAAAATTAGATTTTATATTTTGGGTGGGGTCTGAAATAATAACACAGGAGCGGAAATATCATGTGTTACACGCAGTTTTTCTGACATAAATGTGTGTTGATCAGCCATAACATTAAAACCACTGGTGGAGTGAATAGCATTGATTATATTGTTACAATGACAATAAGGGATGTGAGATACTAGACAGCAAGTGAACAGTCAGTTCTTGAATTTCATGACGGAAAAAATGGGCAAGCAAAAAGATCTGAGTGACTTTGACATGGGCCAAGAAGTGATGGCTAGTCGACTGGGTCATTGCATCTCCAAAACAGCAAGTCTTCTGAGGTGGCTCAGATACACAGTGGTTAGTACTTACCAAAAGTGGTGTAACGAAGGATAACGGTGAACTGGACGCAGAGTCATGGGTGCCGAAGGCTCAATGATGCACAAGGGAGCAAAGGCTAGCCTGTCTGGTCCAATCACACAGAAAGGCTACTGTAGCTCAAATTGCTGGAAACGTAATGCTTGCTGCAGTATAAAGGTGTCAGAACACACAGTACATTGCAGTTTTCTGTGTATGTGTCTGGTCTGAGCAACCATGGTGATCCCGGTCCATTGCCGAAAGTGTTTTCAAAGGGGACATGAGCATCAGAACTGGATCGTAGAGCAATGGAAAAGGTTGCCTGCTTTGATTAACCTCGTTTACCTTAAGATAAGAGGGAAGACTGGGTGCATTGTTTACCTGGGGAAGAGATGGCAGGAGGATGCAGTATGGAAAAAAGAAACATGGCATTTGTATGGATGTTACTTTCACACATACCACCTACTTAGAGATTGTTGTGGCCACGTACACACAATTATGACGAAGATGTTGTCTGATGACAGTGGTCTCTTTCAGCAGGATAATAAACCCTGCCACACTACACAAATTGTTCAGAAATAGTTTGAGGAACATGACAAAGAGTTTAAGGTTTTGCCCAGATCTTAATCCGGTGTCACCTAGCAACTTGCAGTACTAAAAGGCTCTGCTACTATTGTCTTCGTGCCAGATACCGCAGGACACATTCAGAGGTCTTGTGGAGTGCATGCTATGACACATCAGAGCTGTTTTGGCAGCACATGGGGAACCTTCACGACATTAGACAGGTGGGTTTAATGTTGTGTCTGATCAGTGTAGAATTTAAAAGCAGAAATACACACAATATACATGGGGTGATTTTGAGAATGAAAGAATATAAAATCTATTTTTTGTTTACATTAAATTTTATTGACTATTACTCAATCCACTTTTTCCTTGTCAAATCTATGTATTCTAATTAAAGATTATAGAGACCAGTCATATTATAAAATAATTTCTGTTATTATCGCTTCTCTCCCTTAAGAATGGTGTTGTTCTTATAGGCCAAAATATTTTATGGTGCAAGTCATGTAAGACATTCCATATCTTACAAGGAATGGCAAGTATTGTATTTACCTTTCACCATTCGGCTACATATTGTTGAGTTTATATGACTGTTATAAGTAAAGACTACCTGTGCAATAATTACATGTTATACAATGTACTGGATGATTCTTGTATTGAACACAATGTACCATATTGTTCTTTTAAGCGGAAATGAGAATGTCAAATAACATGCTGTGATTTGAAAAAAAAATTTAATAAAAAGATAAAACTGAAAAAACAATATTGATATGTGTAAGGGACTTGAATACATTTTTGGTAACATAGCTTCTTAAAAATATAAACAGAATTTAAAATAATGTGTAAGCATGATGCACACATACCATGTGTATAATTACAATAGAGGACATGGCAGACGACTGTTCATTTAGTGCAAGTAGTATGCTCAGACACATTAAATATAATATCCAATGGTTGCTGTAGAGAATATAAAGAGGAAGGGGGTTCACTATTTACGGTCCATCTGCAAGTGAAGTAGCCTCCTTATCACAGATTTTCTCAGAGAAGAAACCTCGTTTGGAGTTATAGGGGTCCATTGCAAGCAATATATTTTAAACATGTTTGCAAAGCAACAATAATAAAAATCTGTATGTGTTCAGATAGTTCTACATTATATCACTTGGCTAATGCATAAAGTATAATGTATACTTATGTTATACTTTAAGTATAACGATAATAACTCACAATAATTCCACTGAGAAGTATACATGTAGATTTCTTGAGATTTAAAGTGTGTCTTGGGATATAGATTTGTTTTTTCCCAACTCAGTGGTACTCATGTTATTGAACCAGGAAAGACAATAGGCAGAGTTTAACTTGAGACTTGGAAGGTTGAACAGATATTAGATGCAGCAGCTCGTACGCTGACTATATGAGGCGCTTGAACATCTATCTAATGATAAGCTTAATGAATCAAGAGCTGTTAAAGAGACTTTGATCAGAGGTATCATGGTTAATTTAAATGTTTCAGTGATTGAAGTTATTAAAACAGTGAGAGATCAATTTCAAATAATCTATATAATAATCGGAATACTCATTGAAGGCTCAGGGGTTGTTTTAATCAATTTGCATTAAATAAGACTTAGAATCATCCAAAAATCTAGTTCCCAAAAGTCCCAGAACTCTTGAATACTTCCTGATTTTGGGTCTTGCCCCTCTGTCCCAGATTGTTTCCCTGGTGTCCCAGGGATTAGTTCCCAGCAATGATAATACCAGGCCACTAGGACTGAGTGGGACTAGCCAGTGAGGCTATCGGTCACCAACCAGAGGTTCATTCATGTCAAATTCACATGGCCCTTCATTTGGCAGCTCCACAAACTCCAGGCTGTCCAGGCTGGGCTGCCTTTTTTGGGCATTGCCAGTGACATACATACATGCCCCCTTGCATCCACATCCACTCATTCCTATTCACTATGTCACACCTCCCAATGTTGGAAAGTATACAAGTGACAAAAAGCTTAAAGGATAAAAAAAGTTTCTAGACTAGTAAATCAGGTATAAAGAAACATAAAATCGGTTAGGGATATTTACTAAACCATTGCTAATCAAGCTTTAAACTATGTAATTTCAAATGTTATGTTAATTCAGGTATTTTTTCCAATATTTCATATTCCGAAGTGAATTCCAGGTTTGAAAAATAATTGTGTGTGTGTGTGTGTGTGTTCGGAAGAGTTTGCCAATGTGAACCCAGTCAGTGGATTTGTGAGGTGCCCCATGCATTTAGACAGCAACCCTATGTGTACATACCAATAACAAGCATAAAGACCTTCATCTCATTTCAAAAGTGATAATTAGGGCTCTAATGATTGCTAAATTCCAAAATACTTTCACTTGGCATTTGTCTTTTAGCATGGAACTGCGAGATGTAACCACATGTTACATGCGAAAAGACAATTGTCAAGTAAAAGTATTGTGCTGCTTTTACAGTGTTCCCATAGAGTTCTCAAATTTTTGCTAAAAAAGGGAAAAGGTTGTTGGTTACATTTTACTAAGGTAATCATGTATAAACCTTGTTCTTTAATACAATAAACATGTTTGTTTTTTTCTCTCAGAAAACATTAACCTTAAAATTAGTGATGTCCCGAACGGTTCGCCGAACGGTTCGCCAAACGGTTCGCGAACGCTTTGTCGCGAACGGTTTACGAACGGTTCGTCGCGAACGGTTCGTCGCGAACGGTTCGTCGCGAACGGTTCGCGAACGGTTCGTCACGAACGGTTCGCGAACGGTTTGTCATGAACGGTTCGCCACGGACTCATCATTGAGTAAACTTTAACCCTGTACCTCACAGTCAGCAGACACATTCCAGCCAATCAGCAGCAGACCCTCCCTCCCAGACCCTCCCACCTCCTGGACAGCTCACTAAGAATGCAGCTTCAAAATGGATGCTGTCCAGGAGGTGGGAGGGTCTGGGAGGGAGGGTATGCTGCTGATTGGCTGGAATGTGTCTGCTGACTGTGAGTTACAGGGTCAAAGTTTCCTCAATGATGAGTCCGCGGCGAACCGTTCGGGACATCACTACTTAAAATACCTTCTGAATAGACTTTTCAGTACTTTTTTTCATCCTTGTAAATCATGTCAAATCTTATAAACATGATTATTCCCTTTATTATTATTATTATTGTTAATAATATTAATATTATTATAACACTATATCATATTTAATATGGACAGTGTGTTCATATATACATGAAAGGGATTACGTTTTATTATGTTTGCAAATCTACACATTCTTTTATCTGTTTTTTTTATTTCACTCTTCAGACCTTGAAAGTATTAAGTTATTTTGTTATGTTAAATTGAACAGATGGTGCAAGAAATAAAACACATTATGTCTGATTCTGTAAGAGACTAGGAAGATGGAGAGCACAAGTCTGAACGTCAAACGGAAGAGTGTTAAGGAGTGATAAAGACTGATACATTAGGCATGAGAAGACATAGGAGAAAAGGAAATAAATTGGCTGATAATTAAGTGAAGCAAGAAACGAGATGCTGTGGGATTAATTAATAGAGGCACACAGAATGATAATTGTTCGTTAGGACATTTAGTATAATTGTAATTAGCATAGAGTTTAAGATGCCCGCTGCTTTACTAATGTGATGGACACAAGAGACAGTGGGCAGATTGTGTTTCTTCTAATCTGCTCTCCACAAACACACAGAGACTTCAAATTAAACAATAACATACTATGTGAAATAAAGGTAGAGAAACTAAGTAACAGTTAATATCTACGGTCTAAACTGTAATTCTACATACACCCAGCATCCCATTCTGTCTAAATATATATACACCCCACGCCCCATCCTGTCTTATTCTATATACACCCCGCACCCCATCCTGTCTTATTCTATATACACCCCATCCTGTCTTATTCTATATACACCCTGCATCCCATCTTGTCTTATTCTATATACACCCCACACCCCATCCTGTCTTATTCTATATACACCCCACCCCCCATCCTATCTTATTCTATATACACCCCGCACCCCATCCTGTCTTATTCTATATACACCCTGCACCCCATCCTGTCTTATTCTATATACACCTACTTTATCTGTCTTATTCTTACCCATCCTGTCTTATTCTATATACACCCCGCATCCTGTCTTATTCTATATACACCCGGCACCCCATCCTGTCTTATTCTATATACACCCCGCAACCCATCCTGTCTTATTCTATATACACCCTCCACCCCATCCTGTCTTATTCTATATACACCCTCCACCCCATCCTGTCTTATTCTATATACACCCCGCACCCCATCCTGTCTTATTCTATATACACCCTGCATCCCATCCTGTCTTATTCTATATACACCCCGCACCCTATCCCATCTTATTCTACACACACCCCACACCCCATCCTGTCTTATTCTATTTACACCCTGCACCCCATCCTATCTTATTCTATATACACCCTGCAACCCATCCTATCTTATTCTATGTACACCCCGCACCCCATACTGTCTTATTCTATATACACCATGCACCCCATACTGTCTTATTCTATATACACCCCACACCCCATGCCGTCTTATTTTATATACACCCCGCACCCCATCTTGTCTTATTCTATATACACCCGGCACCCCATCCTGTCTTATTCTATGTACACCCCGCACCCCATACTGTCTTATTCTATATACACCATGCACCCCATCCTGTCTTATTCTATATATATACCCTGCACCCCATCCATTATTATTCTATATACACTCCGCACCCCATCCTGTCTTATACTATATACAACCCGCACACCATCCTGTCTTATTCTATATACACCCTGCATCCCATCCTGTCTTATTCTATATACACCCCGCACCCTATCCCATCTTATTCTACACACACCCCACACCCCGTCCTGTCTTATTCTATTTACACCCTGCACCCCATCCTATCTTATTCTATATACACCCTGCACCCCATCCTATCTTATTCTATGTACACCATGCACCCCATACTGTCTTATTCTATATACACCCCACACCCCATGCCGTCTTATTCTATATACACCCTGCACCCCATCCTGTCTTATTCTATATACACCCCGCACCCCATCCTGTCTTATTCTATATACACCCTGCACCCCATCCTGTCTTATTCTATATACACCCCGCACCCCATCCTGTCTTATTCTATATACACCCCGCACCCCATCCTGTCTTATTCTATATACACCCCGCACCCCATCCTGTCTTATTCTATGTACACCCCGCACCCCATCCTGTCTTATTCTATATATATACCCTGCACCCCATCCATTATTATTCTATATATATATATATATATCCTGCACCCCATCCTGTCTTATTCTATATACACCCTGCACTCCATCCAGTCTTATTCTATATACACCCCACACCCCATTCTCTTTTATTCTATATACACCCCGCACCCCATCCTGTCTTATTCTATATACACCCCGCACCCCATCCTGTCTTATTCTATATACACCCTGCACCCCATCCTGTCTTATTCTATATACACCCTGCACCCCATCCTATCTTATTCTACATACACCCCGCATCCCATTCTGTCTTATTCTATATGCACCCCATCCTGTCTTATTCTATATACACCCCTCACCCCATCCTGTCTTATTCTATATACACCCTGCACCCAATCCTGTATTATTCTATATACACCCGGCATCCCATCCTGTCTTATTCTATATACACCCTGCACCCCATCCTGTATTATTCTAAATATACCCTGCACCCCATCCAGTCTTATTCTATATACACCCCGAACCCCATCCAGTCTTATTCTAAATCCACCACACACCCATCCTCTTTTATTCTGTATACACCCTGCACCCCTTCCTGTCTTATTCTATATACACCCCGCACCCCATCCTGTCTTATTCTATATACACCCCACACCCCATCCTGTCTTATTCTATATACACCCCGCACCCCATCCTGTCTTATTCTATATACACCCTGAACCCCATCCTGTCTTATTCTTTATACACCCCATCCTGTCTTATTCTATATAAATCCCGCACCCCATCCTGTCTTATTCTATATACACCCTGAACCCCATCCTGTCTTATTCTTTATACACCCCATCCTGTCTTATTCTATATAAACCCCGCATCCCCTCCTATATTATTCTATGTACACTCCGCACCCCATCCTGTCTTATTC